TTCAAAGACCGGCTCTGGATCCGGTCATCTTACCCGGCAACCAAAGACACGAAGCCGGACTATTTCGGGATATCTGGGGGAGGGGTGGGGTGGGTTTTTCTGTGGGTTGTCTTGGTGTATTCACGAGTATTTGAACTCTGTGTTTTTGACTTAATAAAATGTACATATCACTATGTACAAAAATGTATAATTTTTGTTTTGTTTTGTTTTGTCCAGAAAGAGAGAATAGAGGAAACATGAAAGAGAGGGAGATTTAGATGAGTAAGAGAGAAAGAGAAATAATAGGCGAGCGAAAGAGAGAGAGAGAGAGAGAGAGAGAGAGAGAGAGAGAGAGAGAGAGAGAGAGAGAAAGAGAGGGAGAGAGGACTTGAGAGGAGAGATGACAGAGAGTAGGATAGCGAGAGAAAGAGAGATATAATGGGAGAGAGAAAGAGAGAGAAAGAGAGAGGAGATGACGGAGAGCAGGATAGAGAGAGAAAGACAGAGATACAGTGAGAGTGTACTGGTACTAGAGAGAGCACATGGATAACATGGATAAGACCGACGCGGACAAAAGGCCGATGCGGATAAAAGGCTAACATGGACTTTAGGCCGACGAGTACAAAGGCCTGCGCTTGACTAGTAATCAGACATTTTCGAGGTCGAATCCGAGTTCAAGTCAGTAGACCGTCCCTGAGTCCACGCAGCTCTGATGAGTACCCATCTCACATTAGGTAAAGTGAATGAAACTGGGCATAATGCTCTACTTTAATTGCCCTATGGACCGTCAGACTCAAAAAGGTAACTTTTTTGTGAATGATCAAAATTTTTCAAAATGCCGAGTTGTTATAAAGCCGACTACCGAAAAAAGGCCAAATTCCGAAATGGGTTGTGAAGCTGATCTGCTTTTGATTTCGTTTCTTAATGTTAGTCTCACCTCCTTATCATACCTTGCGATAATACGAAGCTAACCAAGAGACGGACTTTTTGTCGGCCTTATGTCTATGGTTAGGGAAAGTAAAGGCGGCTGGGCATAGTGCTGACCACACTATCTCTTCATATGCCGAGGTCACAGAAACAAGTGAAGTCTACTTCACTTGCCCCATAGACGTCAGGTTTGAAAGGGAACGTTTTGTCTAGGAGACTATTTTATCTCAACTTTTTAATCAATAATGGATTTTAATACATAGACCTTTTCTCTTAAACCTTTGATAGAGACTGGAAATCTATCGCCCGTGTTGCATGAGAGTGGAGACCCATTACCACAGACCAACGTAAGGCTTTTCTTAACAAAAGCATGTATGTAATAAAGCTTCAGTCCTGCTTTAGGTATGTTTATGACGTATTTCTGGAAGATTATAGATCGAAATGTAAAGACCGAAGCGGTGCAATAGCAGGTAATTTTATCTGGGATTCCCGATCTTCTTTTTTTTTCTACAAAAAACAAAAAAACAAAACAAAAACAAACAACAAGAAAAAAACAATAAAAAAAAACTAAAAAAAACCCCCGATCCTCTTTAACGATGTAATAAAGACACCTACAGATTCAAGTAAGCTAAGTCTTCTCCAAATATCTGTCCATCAGGGTTGTCTTCTCTTCGGGGATATCTGGGTGGTCACTGTTTACTTATTAACATTAAATAATCTCTATAATAATTTAAACGCGGTACTAAAAAAAAACAAAAAAACAAAAAACAAAAAAAAAACAAAACAAACCCAGACGAAAACTTGATTGAACACCAAAACTTTATTCATCATATCATCAACATCATCATAAATATTCGAACATCATTCACATCAAATATTTACCTCAATTCTCGAACCCATTTACGCCCCTTACCACACGATGAGCGTAAACTCGATTACTCTCTCACGAAGACTCATAGTAACACTCATAATCAAGGAAAACAACATGACCAATCAATAATTAACAAGTGAACACAACACTCTCTTAATTAATAAATACATCAACTGTTGTCTTGTATGCTTATTAAATACGACAAAAAAAACAACACTCGTCCCATACGTTTCAGTTAAATTTAAAGTAATACATGCATATTTTATCATAATGACTGACTGAGCAAAAAAAAAAAAAAGAAAAAAAAAAAGAAACAAACATCGGAAGTCACGTAAATACTCTCTCTAAATATCACGCAGAGACGCGCAGGAGCATCTCATTTCATGACGTCAGAGATCAATCTACCCTCGCAATGACGTCATCACAACTTCGTCTCCTCGTGCAGTCACCCCTCCCTCCCCAACCCCCTACGCGTAACGTCATCCCATGTTTATTTTTAAAATTATAAATTTTTTGTTTTCTCGCCACTGCTTCATATAGTGGACATCAAATAATGAGGCGATTCCGAGTTGTTTTATATTCCACTTCAAGCATCGAGTTTCGCTTGTTACAAGGTGGAGTCAGGCGAAAGTAGCGCAATTAAAATTACATTTCACAATCCCCGTATGGAGTCACCGCGTATTGATTAGTGCTCACACATGGTGGGTACGTTCTCCTAATAGAAGTTCATTTACAAGGGTTGGTTTTTTTTGTACATGGCAGATGATCACACAATATATGCATAAAAATTACATATTATTTTGTATAAACGTATATATATATATATATATATGCATATATATATATATATATATATATATATATGCATATATATATATGCATATATATATATATATATATATATATATATATATATATATATATGCATATATATATATGCATATATATATATATATATATATATATATATATATATATATATATATACATATATATATGAGTGGGTCACACACTGATTTAATGCGATCGCTCTCAGTTTACTAAGCATACTTTCTTAAACGAGATATGATTTTAAATTATCTCAACAGTTTTCCTTTTCACAGTTTTAAATTAGATTTGGTCAAATTTCGTATTTCACAACCACTATCGCTCAATCTTGTTGCATTGGTGCCAATATATGCCCACTTTTTCCTCTTTATGTCTGTATTGGTATCGCATTGTTTATTTATAGTGTCGGATATGTGAAACTAGAAAAATTGTTGTGATTAATGCTAGTTCATACTGTCGGTGAAATTTAAAATAAATATACGAGAACAACCAATGGCAGGAGTGGTGACAAATACTAAATAAAAGTGTGTCGTTAAATTTTCTCAGCGATCTACTATTTATTTTTTTAATTGATAATTTTAATAAAAAGCTGCTCGTTCTTTTTATCTAAATTACAAAATTTAATTTTTTCAATTATCTTTATAGTTGTCCCCCTTTATCCGTTATTTTCAGTATCTTATTTATTGTATTTTCTTACCTCCCTTGATTGTTTTGTTTTACTATGTGGAGCAGTGGTCTGAAACTACAATAGTGTGAGAACAGTTTACAATACCATACCCACACTGAAGAGTTACCCAAGTGTTATTTGCGCACAGGATCACACAGATCATTATACATATCACACAGATCATTACACCAGCGATAATTTTACATATCACAAAGGTCATTACACAGGTGATATTTGTACAGATGATCACAAAGATCATACAACAAAACGTCAACATCGTATTTTATCGAACACATCAAATTCACAAGTTGTCAACAACGCCTTGAAAAGGTCACACACCACAATAATTGGTTTGCAGTCTTGCCAAAAAAATAAAAGTTTTAATGAACTGTTCAAAAATAAACACACCTGTGATCAAAATCATATTTCATCGATATCACATTTTCAATATTACAACAAAAATTAAATTAAAAAAAAATAATCATCTACGAATCGTATCGACATTTTTGTTTTTAAAACTGATAATTAATTAGAAAATCTAATTAAACATGAACTAGGAAAAAAAAAGATAAAACTCATACATTATGCCAGCTTTGAAATTTCTAAAATTTAATATAAATATGATTAATAAATACATCTGTATACTATTTACACGCAAAAGAAAAGTGGAATTCGTGAGATTCAAAAAACAGTGAATAATTTAATTAACGACATTTTTCTTTTCAAAAAAATTCGCAGGTGACCATCACTGGTCTACATATCCAAGTAACATCATAAGCATAAAATATAACAATGGCAATTATTAAAATAAAAAGCCAACATGTGACATAATTAATTAAAGACAACAGTAATTATCAGTAGTGGTCGATGGATTTCAACAAATTTCGGCGCCTCATCACAAGAAGCATCGCTGAGAAGGGGGAAAAAATGGAATAATGGAAAAAAAAAATGGATTTCTCTGTTGTAGGCTGATATATTGTCAAGAGCTCTAGTGACTAAGTAATGGACAGTTAAAGCCGTTCGCAAAGACTAAATCATGATATGCATTAATGCCATAATTGTTTAAAAATAATTTAACCTAAGCATCTTGACTTAGAAGACTAAATAATGATATGCATTAATGCCATAATTTAAAAACAATTTAACCTAAACATCTTGACTTAGAAGACATGGGTTTAATTTTCTGAGATTTGGGCAATATCAAATGGCGTGTGTGAATTATCTTACGGATTAATCTCTATATATGCAACTAATCTAATCTCTATGTATGTATGTATGTATGTATGTATATATGTATATATGTATATATGTATGTATGTATGTATGTATGTATGTATGTATGTATGTATGTATGTATGTATGTATGTATGTATGTATGTATGTATGTATGTATGTATGTGATTTTGTGTGTATGTATGTATGTGTCTATGTATATATCTGTGTAGGTATGTATATATGTATTTATGTGTGTATGTATGATTGTATCTAATCCTTAACACACACATATACATATATGTGTGTGTATGATCGTTAACACATTGTGGCTAAACCACTGATCCCACCCAGAGCTTACTAAATAGTCTAATTAATTAACGCTGAGTCTAATTTACTTAGATCTATATTGCAACGAACGCGCATTGTAATATTGTTCTAACAGTAACAGCCTGAAGTTTTCAATAAAAAAAAAAAACCAAAAAAAAAAAAAATCGTCTTAAAATGCTACACTCTTTGATCAGATTGAATCAAGGGCGACTACTCGCCAAGTTTTGAGACATACACCGTGAGAGTATTTCAAGAAACAACACCGGACCGTTCGGACTTCCGTGGGGTGTTCAGTAACACCGGCATTTCGCCACCACCATTTCCGGGTACGTTGTCATGACAATTTCACCTTCAACGTCAAGGTGCATGATTTCAATGGACGTGTAACCGTTGGGGGCGCAGACGGGGGCCGGGATATTAGGATTTCTTTCGTGGAGTAATCCTTTGATTCCTGAAAAGGTGCTCCCGATTTTGAACTGCCTGGGGCAGCCGCCTTTGCAGTAATACGCATCGAAGCCTTCAGGCGCCAGGACCCAATCGCTCCAGCCGATTTCCTCAAAGGAGATGTAGATGCTGTGTTTGCAGCAGAGGTCACGGTGACATGCCGTCTCCGTCGTCTGTCGCTTCCGCCGGGATTTTCTCAAGTCTTGTGTCGCCGTGGTCAGTTCCAGAACCGCGTCCGTGATGTTCAGATACCGGCTGCCGGAATTACGAGCCGTGCGGTTCAGCAAACGACGGGATCGAGAGTTTCTTCTCAGAAATTTTCGACGTCCGCCATTGGTCAGCGGACTGCCTTGACCTTTATCCCCCCTGTTGTTAGTACCCAGATCGAGGCTGACCTCAAATGTCAAGAACCGGTCGCCGCTTTCGAAAATCTCCGAGAGAAGTTTCGTCTCCAAAGGAATCTCCACATCCCTGTTCAAGATCTGATCGTCTGCTAACGTGGCTACAAGCTGACGCGGGAACAGCTCCCTGGAGGAGTTACTGTTCCCCAGCCTCCTCTTAATGTAAACGTTAACGGTCGCAGGTTTCGCGAACAGTCCCCGGTCCCTTTGAAGAATATCTTTCTGTAGTCCAATGCGCATGCGCAGTAGTGCCGACTTCATGACCAAGTCCAAATAAGGAGCCTCGGGCGTCTGAAAGTTGGCGTCAAACGAGAGAGTTCTTAGAGAGATGGTTGGCGGCTGGTTGGCCGAGAGAAGTACTGGTGTCTCTGTAACGACGGCTGTGGAATAAAAACAAAAATATAATTTAAATTTTGACTTATTAATTTTCTTCTTACACAAAAACCATCAATGGCTACGATTTCGGATGGGGGACCCAATCTTTTATGGTACCAAGCAGCCTACCAAAAAAAAGTAATTTTCTACATTTCGTTTACATTAAAAAGTCTTTTTTGTTTTGGCTTTTAGGGCTTCATTTCTATTTGTATAAATCCTCGAGTTTTTACTTTAGTAAGACAAACTTTGATTGGCTGTATGGTTGGTCACGAATTCAGTTAATATAAAACCCCACTTCTACATTTCCGGTAAATATTTTATTCCATGGCATTGAAAACTGCTATTAGATAGGGCGCATCTGCAATTAAAAAATAACAATTTCGCTCGCATTTTCTGTAATTTCCTGTAATACTATGAAACGTAATCACCACCAAGTTCAGCCATGTTTGTTTACATTAACCATATTGCTACGAGAATAAAACCAAACTGATTTGCATTTCTAAAAATGAAAATCTGTTCAGTTAAAAACAATAAATTCGAATAACCTTTAAAAAGTCCTACAAATACCACACGATTAAGTTTTTATAATCACATGTTTAAATATGACTTCGCACTACAAAAGAGTAAATGAATCGCCCTTTTGAAAGTCCGATCAGATTAATAATTTTTTAGTTGTTTTGATAATATGTTAGAACAGTTTATATTTAAAGTTTTAAATTTTTGTTTTTGAAGGTATATTATGAACGATTTATTTCGAGGTCATTTAAAAAAAAAACCTAGCTGGAATATGATCTATAGTAAATTTAATTATAATTTTTTAAAATGGTAAAAGTGCAGCTAGCTGTAAACATAAAGACAGACAGCTAGATCTATATCTAAAGCTACAGGAAAACAGATATCTGTACATTAATTTTTAGTAACCGTACTAAAGCTAATGCTTTATAACACAACGACAAAGTTTGCATGCCCAAACCAAGATTTAAAAAAAAAAAGTTAAAGCTCCCCTTTAAGAACAAACGATCCAAAGAGTAGAAGAAGTAGAGTACATGTTTCTTGATCTTGGCATATGAAGGGATGGTGTGGTCAACACTATGCCCTGCTGCCTTTCCTTTCTTAAGTTAGGTACTCGTCAGAGCTGGGTGGACTCATGGACGTCCTTCAGTCTCGAAAACGGACTGAGATCCGAACTTGAGACCTTCGAGACAGCAGCTGAGCGCTCTACCGCTCAACTATGCTATCCAATAAGCCAACACCGGACACAGTTTAAAACCTTTATTATATCACGCTTTTACATCTAAGTACACTTCATCTAAAAGTAAGGAAAACGACAGAAATTTCCATTAGTTATAACAGTAATACCATTGTTCGCTGAAATACATGGAAACGATTTCTCAACGACAAACGTTAAATCTACTTAGCTCGGGAATTTATAATTAGCGTCTTTTATTTTTAGATTCGTTTCATTGACATTTTAAAAGCTTGGTATTTTAAACATTTAATTACGATTTAAAATAATGTGTATATTTATTAGTATACTAGGGAACTAGAGACCTTCGGGACAACAGCCGAGCGCTCTACCATTCGACCATACCGACCCATAATCCTACACCGGACGAAGTTTAAAACATTGATCATAGCACGCTTTTACAAATAAACTCAAAGTAAGGAAAACGAAAGAAATTTCCATTAGTTATAATAGTAATACCATTGTTTGCTGAAAGGCAAGGAAACGATTTCTCAACGACAAACGTTATAACTACTTAACTTTTTTTTAGAAATCGGGAATTTATAATTAGTGTCCTTTATTTTTAGATTCGTTATATTGAAATTTTAAAAGCTTGATATTTTAAACATTTAATTGCGATTTAAAAATAATTTGTATACTTATTAACTAATATTTTTATCTATAATTTATATATATATATATATATATCCCAACTAATATTTTGCAATTAACTTATTAGTAAAGTAAAAGTGAGGTTCCCTCTTTGAAGCTGACGGTCAATGGTGCAAGTGAAGTAGAATTCACTTGTTTTTCTGACCTCGACTTATGCAAGGATAGTGTAGTTATTGTTTTTTTTCGATGACTTATTTAACATAAAGTTCGATTTAGAAAAAATTACAAATTCGTGCGTTGTCATCGGAAATGCTATAATATAAAGATATAAAGGAAGCTGCGCTAGTGGACACGGGTGACCAGATTTGACCACAGTACCACATCTTTAAATAGCTTGTGATAAATCTACCAGCTTTAAAAACTCTCCCTACCCCACGACTAAATTGCCTGTGACTCCCCCACCCACTACAGATCTACCTGTGACTCACCCCCCCACTACAGAACTGCCTGTGACTCCCCCACCCCCCACTACAACTACCTGTGACTCCCCCACCCCCCACTACAACTAACAACTACCTGTGACTCCCCCCCACTACAGAACTGCCTGTGACTATCCCCCACCCCCCACTACAACTACCTGTGACTCCCCCCCCCCACTACAGAACTGCCTGTGACTATCCCACCCCCCACACGACAGAACTGCCTGTGCCTCCCCCCCCCCACTACAACTGCCTATGACTCCCCCCACTACAGAACTGCCTGTGACTCCCCCACCCCCACGACAGAACTACCTGTGACTCCCCCACCCCCCACTATATAACTGCCTGTGACTCCCCCCCCCCACTACATAACTGCCTGTGACTATCCCACCCACCCCCACTACAGAACTGCCTCTTACTCCCCCACCCTCACTACAGAATAGGCTGTGACTATCCAACCCCCCACTACAGAACGTGACTCCCCCCCACCTCCACGATCAAACACACGATAAAACATAAAATCAACAAATGAAATAAAACTGTTTAAATATTTAATGCCCTGGAGTTTAGCTTGCATTGTTCAACCGACGGCAGAAACGAACACACAAAAAATGCAGAACAAAAGAATGTTAATATAGATTACAGATGTGTATATGTGTGTTTGTATGTGTGCATGGGGCTATTTAAAATAAACATTTTTAAGGTGGATGGATAAGATTACAAAACGTTCAGCTTGTTTTTAGACTCAAATTTTTAGCATTTTATTATTAAGCTAAAAACATGTATGCCTTCGCAAGAGAAAACTTTAAAATACGAAAGTTACCGGAGAAAACCGACGACGCTTCCGAAGATTGCCGAATAGGCCGAAGAGGAAAACCAAAGCAGTTTTAAAAATATAATACAGTTTAATCTACTGTTTTCTAAATAAAACCAAAACAAATAAAAAACAAACAAAAAGACACAAAGAGATTTCTAAAATTTTAACCCACACCTTTATCTCCCCCTCCCTCTCTACTCTCTCTTCGTGCCGACCACAATCCAACATCCGACGAACAACGAAACGAAGACAACCCCGTATTGAGAACGAAGACAATCTCCCATTAAGCAAAACGAAAACAACCTTGGCCCGCGTGCGTAAGTGGGTGGGTGGGTGGGTGCATCACATGACGACACGGGTAAATACAGGTAAATGAAGAGATTCGGAGGCGGTGATTCAGGTGAGAGACACGTGCGGAATGTCTTTGATCAACCTGGGTGTCTGTGATTCCTCAGCGATCTGCTGGCGGGGGAGTTATCTTCCGCTGATTGCCGTATCTATCGCAGTTTGTTGGTCATTATTTGTGTGATACACAGCTTCGGTTGGTCATTATTTGTGTGATACACAACAGTACAGCTTCGGTTGGGTCTTATTTGTCTGATATAATAAAACAACAACTTGTACGTTGGGTTATTTTTTTTTAATTATTAAAGGGACACACAACACTCCCCACTGGGTCTCATTGACATTCAACACTGGCTTCATTATGGCCGCATTGACACCAATTTTGGGCCGCATTTGATAGACATAAGGGCCGCATTTGATACCACATAAGGGCCGCATTGACACCAATTTAGGGCCGCATCGACAACAAGTTAGGGCGAACATTGATACCAAGTTAGGGCCAATATTGACACCATAATATGGCGGCATAGACATCAACTTAGGGGCGGATTAACACCAATTTAGGGCCGCATTGACACCAATTTAGGGGCAACATTGACACCATATTATGGTGGCATTCACACCACCTTAGGACCGCATTTTACTTCACCCGCACAAGACCCTCACATCACCCCACACGAATATTAAAGCCTCACCTAACAAACGTTTGGTAGAACATGTCCCTATTACATCATCAACCTTGACCTTCCCTCCCCCCTCCCACACACTTTCTCATCGTCTTCTCCACCATCTCCCCACATCTCCTCACCATCCTCTATTTCCTCTCCTCCCACTCTCCACACACCATCGATCTTTTGCTGACTCCAATCCCCGCTTCATAAACAAGAGAACAAAGATGTATCAACACATCTCGTTCTCTCTATTTCTCTCTCTCAGAAGTACTTGATACACTTAAAATCTAATTAAAATATACTTCACATCGCTTCCTCTCCGACACAAAGATCGCATACATCCCCAACAAATTAAAGCTGTTTCAGAACGATGGTTATTTCGCGATGCTAATTACATCTTTAATTATTTTGCGCTTCCAAATATTAGACAAATTATCCGGCTATTGACGTTGTTGGCTGCGCATGCGTAAACATGGTTCGCTGATGACGTCAGCAATAACTGTTTGACCTTGCTTTAATGAGACGATATTTAGAACATTTAGGGTTTCTTTCAGGCAGTTTTATCCCGAAGGGGGGTGCACTTGAAACTTTCGGTAGGCGAACTGACAATTATTGGAGCGGGGGTGGGGACACTGGTTCAAATGTATATTTCCTATATATTTCCTGTATAAATTATATATTTTTTCTATTTCAACCAATGGGGATGTGAAGGACTGAGGTCTTTAAGTTATTAATTCTCATTCTACCAAATGGTTAGGTCCCAACTATCCCAGCCAAAACATTAGGTCCTAACTACCGCAGTCAAAACATTAGGTCCTAACTACCGCAGCCAAAACATTAGGTCCTAACTACTGCA